CCCCCTAAAAAACCCTAATAAAATCTGCAACAAAAACCAAAACTAAAAACAGAAATAAGTTCAAATGAAAAACCCCATCAGAAATAGACACATCTCAGGCAAATGCATGTAGGTCTACTACTGCATTTTTTGGCCTTTTATCGTAAAAAATGATTGATATTGTTACTGCAAAAAACTTTGGTTATGTCCCTTGATGAATCTTAGTAGGTACAGAGTACTTATTGATTTTGGGCTATCTTTGTCGATAAAGTACTCGATATTGGCCAGTATCGACTAGCGTCCACCCCTAGTATAAAGCCTGAAATACCTGGTGTCTAAAAGATAGAGGACCATTTAAAGTTGTGCTTCTTTCTTAACTCTTTATTAAACCCTGAGTTTTTTCCACCATTTCCCGGAGTTTTTTCGACAGTCACCTAAATCTGGTGCGCTATATGTCTCTTTAGAACTGCTAAAGCTTGCCTCCTACTTCAAAATTGCGGAAACAAAGGCTTAGTCATTACTTTAAAAAAACTTGGATCGGGAATTGTTCTGAAAAAACAAGAACAAATTTTCACTAAATTAAACGAAGCAGTTGTCACTAGAATCAGACGCTCCCAGCGTCAGTGGGGAACAGTGTTATTACTCCAGACGCTCCCAGCGTCAGTAGGGAACAGAGTAGTTATTACCGCCGGACGTTCCCAGCGTCAGTGGGGAGCAGAGTTATTACTCCAGACGTTCCCAGCGTCAGTGGGGAACAGAGTTATTTCTCAGGATGTTCCCAGCGTCAGTGGGGAACAGAGTTATTATCGCCGGACGTTCCCAGCGTCAGTGGGGAACAGAGTTGTTACTTCCGTACGTTCCCAGCGTCAGTGGGGAACAGAGTTATTACCTCTGGACGTTCCCAGTGTCAGTGGGGTTTAAAGAGTTAAAATTAAAGTATCCCAAAACAGTGGTTCTTCATGCAAGCAAAATGCACGTCCTCAATGGGGGAATAAATTGTAAATGGGTATAAAATTTCTTCAGTAATTTATTAATTACAGGAATTCTTTAGCACCCTGGTGGTAATGAAATAAATTGTAGATGCATTAATTAGTTTATTAAGTAGAGGAAATTCGTAGCACCTGATCGGTGGCCATCAAATTTAGATTTATTAAGTAATTTACTAATACTGGAAGTTACTATCAGCTAAATTGTAGATTTATGAATAGATTCATTAATTAATTCATTAATCTTAGGAAACTTTTAGCGGTTCGATGGTAATCAATTATATTGTAGATTTATTATCTGATTTAAATGATAATAATGGATTGCATTTATATAGCACATATCCACTTATGCATTGCTCTATGCACTTAACATGATATATATTATGGATTTACAAATCACTTTTAAAGGCACAATATATAGTATGACATACGCGTGCACACACATATTCATGCACGCATGCCCCACACACACATACATACATACATACATACACACATACGTACATACACACATACGTACTGACGCACATACAAACTCACGACGATCTACAGCTTGGATGAATCGAAATATGATGAAAATACAAATGCTTTTAGTTTCTTCTTTAAAAGTTTATTCAATAATTTATTAATTACAGGAAATATTAACCCTATTCGTACGCCCTGAGGTCCTTTTGTACCCCCGGGGTTGTATTCTTCACATTTTTTAATACTTCTAGTTCGAAGATCTCTTTGAAACTTTCAGTATCTCACGAAAAATCATTTTGACCGACTGCTATGCAAAGCGTACGGATCGGATTAACGAGTAAATTTCCTCTTTGGAAAATGGTGGCACCGAGTTCCCCACGTCGTATGGATACGATAGTAAAACACGACGTACGGATAGGGTTAAGTAGCTTGATGGTCATCAGATATAATTGTAGATTTATTAATTAATCCATCAATTAATCTATTCATAACAGAAAGTTTTTAACAGCTCAGTGGTAATCAAATATATTGTAAATTTATTAATGATTTATTAATTTATGTATTATTCAATTTATTAATTACAGGAAATGTTAAGCAGCTCGGTGGAACTAAAATAAATTGTCGATTAATTCATTAATTTATAATAATAATAATAATAATAAATAGCATTTATACTGTGCACTTCCATTTTTTAAAAAATGCTCAATGCGCATTACAACGAAAAAGACACCACATCTTAAAAATTGATCTACATGCGTGTACGTAAAACAAAGAATTATACATATAATATAAATGTATATGTGTAAAAATTTATGTGAGAAAAACATTTATTAATGAATTTATTAATTCCAGGAAAGATTGAGTGCTTTGGTTGTCATTAAAGACAAAGCCCACAGGGTGGCTTATGAGTTGATGATGACGGAGAAGAACTACGTGGAGGAATTACATCTTTTGCATTGTGTAAGTTATGGTAGTGTGTGTGTGTTTGTGTGTATGTGTGTTTGAGTGTGTGTATGTGTGTGTGTGTTTTCTGTTTATGTGTGTAGGAATTACATCTGTTGAATTGTGTAAGTTGTGTTAATGTTTGTGTGTATGTGTGTGTGAGTGTGTGTGTGTATGTGAGTGTGTGTGTGTGTAAGTTGTGTTAGTGTTTGTGTGTATGTGAGTGTGTGTGTGTGTGAGTGTGTGTGTGTGTGTGTGTGTGTGTGTGTGTGTGT